TACCAATATTAAATGTTAGTCTGACTCAATAATTCTGAGGTAACATTTTGGAAATAGTCATTTGTAGTTTAAGAAGTTTATATTGAGTGAGTTAAAGCAATTTCTGTAGTCACTGCTCTGGTGGCCAATGCAGTAGCCACAATAGCAGCAATTAGAATTCCCAGAAAACATTTTTGTCTGCAATGTTGAAGTATTCAGGTGATTTATTCAAGATCAGAACTTCCCACTGATTCATGAGTGAGACTTTTGGGGAGTCATGCTTCAGCTTATTGTCTGAGTACTATAATGCGTGTAATATTTAGTTGGGAAATTTTATTATTTGTGAAACAAGAACTTAACTACGTGGCATAGGTGGGCAAAGAAATATTAAGTGTTCTAAAGGATTTATGATGACAATTAGAGTAACTATATTTGGTTATCTTGGATCCCTGGTTAATAAGGGTAAAATATATGAATAGGAAGTACAAATATAACATGGTCTGCAGTATTGTGAACAACCCATCAGAGATTATCTGTATGTTAATAATTATCAATTTTAGTATGAGTGAAAAAGGGAATAACTAAATACCAGTACAATTTCTTGAAGGGGAAAACTGAGAGAACAATGGTTCAACAAGTCCAGACTTCCATGTAGGTAGGCTGCCACAGTACAGTGGTACCTCAGTTTCCACACTTAACTCTTCCCATGATTCTGCTTGTAAACTGAATTGGATGAGAACTAAATCAAATTCAGTGATTAGGTTCAGTGTTAAACTTATGGGGAAAGTGGATTTGGTTCTCTTCCAATTTGATCTGCAATCAGGATCATGGAAAAAACTGTTTGTGAACCAATGTACCACTGTAATCAAAAGGCAAAGGGTAATTCCAGGTAAAATTACACTCTAAAGCCATCAAATGATGGGGCCCCAGCTTTCTATGGTTATGTTATAAGTAAATGAAAACAGAGATTAGTGGATGACAAAAAGACTATCCCAAACTCAGACTACTATTTGTAGGTAACCATGGATGAAAACATATGGTAATGTTAGGTTTTTTTGAAAGTGCCTGCAAGACATGGAAGAATCTAGGCTCCAGTTGTATTAATAAAGATGTGATGGCACACTACCTCAGTATGACTGAGTCCAATGAAAATATGATTCATGAACCATTGGGGATGAACGAGAACAAAATAAGAGCTACTAATGATGTAAAATATCAGAGTAAATTGTTCTGTCAAAAAGTTCCATTCATGACAAGGTAGATACCAGCCACTTGAGAGTTCAGAATGGACACAATCCCTCAGGTGACTACATCAAAAAGAGGATGTGTAAGTACATGTGCTTTTTAGACCATGTTGCTTACTTCTGGTGTACAGCTAGACAAGCAGAATAAAAATAAAACTCTTGCCAGGGATTTAGCTCAGTGGCATAAGAGCCTGCCTTGGCAAGCACAAGGTTACAAGTCCGATTCCCGGTATCACAAAAATTGAATTATATTAAATTTTTAAAAATAAAATAAAACTCCTTTATGTTTTCCATGAGAATTATAGTGGCATGTAGTACTACTGCCAGGAAAAAGCTTTCTGGATCAAAAGGTGTACCAGTGCTCTACAGTCATTTGTTTAGCTTGAGCAAGAGATTTTTTACTCTCCCGTCAGGTGGGTCTCAATGATCATAGCACTGGCTTGTGCGAAGTGTAGAAAGGTTTGGAAAGGTAGATACAAAAGCAGCCCTGGATGTTTCAAGCTGTACTTGATGGGACATTCTGGTCAAAGCTCAGACCAGAATGCTGAAAGAAGTGCAGCAGGTAAAGATCAGGTTCAGGAGATGTCTCTTGGAAAGGTCTACATTGGCTATCGGACTCCAGAAAATGTATTGTGTTAGCAGAAAATTTGTCTGCATTTTGTTCTTGTCCAGAGATTTGCCTGAGACTAAGTGTGGTAGACAATTATGAACTGATCAGGTGCACAACTTCTTAAACAAGTGTACAGCAAGTGACTTAAAAAAAGAGACAATGGAATATGGTTTTTGGGGAGCTCAAGGTTAGAGCTCTCTCAGGTGTAAAGACAAAATGTGGTGCAGCATCTGCCTGGCAAGTATGAGGTCCTGTATTAGATTCCCAGTACCAGTACCAAAAAAAAAAAAAAGCAATAATTATCTAGTTTTTCAAACAATGAAGGGGGGATACAGAGGCAAGGCAGGAACCAAGCAGGACCTTGGGAAGTTAAAGACTTCTCCAAGAAGCAAATTTTGCCACTTAAGAGACCTGTCTTATCTCTAGGCTGACATTTACAGTAGGAACTAAATAGCTGCACCTGCAGTCTTTATGATACAAATTGAGATCAGAGCCAGGTTCTCTCAGGTCTGGCCTTATCTTGTCCTTTGAAGTGTCACAGCATCACCGGCCAATATAGGTCTTAACTTTGACCAGTGGTATGCAGAGGTTCACATATTGTGTGCTCACTGCCAATCTCCAAGCAAGCCAACTAGGCCTGAGAAAGACTCCTAAATAAACACAGAAAGCCAACCAACTAATTTTAAATCTTTCTCAGAGCCAATGTGTAGTGGTCTCTATCAGTGGATTATAATTTGGCAGAAATTTCAAGGGAGTCTAATGTTGAGGTAGTGCTATGGCTACTATTGGGAGCTTTTAAGCTAGCTTCATATTGAGAATCAAAAGTAAAGGACCCAGCAGAATGATTTTAAAGTTCTGATTTTAGACAGAAAGATCCAGTAAAGATGCAGTCTACAGAGAGAGAATTGCTCAATGAAAATACTAGCAATAAGAGGTATTTAGAAGAGGACAATGCAAAAGATGGTCTAAAGAGATCAGAAGAACCAGCAGAACTCCAACTTTTGTAGCCTCAACATCACAAAAGTGAAAAACTTTGGGGTATTAATGTCAGAGCTTCATGTTTGAGAATAGTGACAGTCTAGGAAAGCTGTTCTTTGGGATTCGGTTCATAGGCACTCAATCCCAACAGCCAAGAGAGAAGGGAGCATGGCCACTCCTCCAGCTTGCACCATGTGAGGCTGGTTTTAGTTGCATGAAGAATGGAAGAGTTGTGGAGTCAGGAAGGCTTCCACCCAGATTTTACAAGAACAGGGAGACCAGGACGTGTCCCCTGAGAGCAATGTGTGAAGCCAAAGATGCTTCACACATTGGACAAGCATCAAAAATTGGAGAAGCCAGGAGCCTGGTCTGAACAAAGTCACAAAGCATAAATAAAAGTGGCCTAAATGACAAGCACTAAGCGGCAACTACAAGGAGTGTGACTGGGGCAGAACCATCCAAGATCTTTGAAGCTCACGTCTTGCCACTGACTGCCTAACATGTTAGGGAACTACAAGATATAATGTTCACTATGCTGGATTATGGATTTGCTTTGGTTCTATTCCAATTACCCTATTTGGAAAGGGAAAGTTTATCTTGTGCCAGTACATGCTGGAAGTGATTAACTTCTCATTTGTACAGGCCTCACAACTAAGAATTTGCCTGAAGTCTGAGAAGAGATTTTAGACTTGCACTTTTGACCAATGTTGAAAATGTTAGGTTTAGCAATTCTTAGAGATGGACAAAAGAAATGTGCATTAGTCATTCCAGCGGCTAGAGGTGCAATGTTATGATTTGTGTCTAGAAGTCTCAACAAAGCCTCATGCACTGATAGGACAGGCTTTTTTGGAGGTGGCCATATTCAGAATTCTGGAAATATGGATTAAAGGTGTTATGCTGAGATTAAGCAGTTTTTGAATATGGATTTACTGAAACCATTACTGGTGTGCTGTTAATGAAAGATGTAATGAACGTAAGAAATAGTTTAGAGACATATTGAAATGAATGTTTTTCAGCAATAGAGAAATAAGTGTTTTCATATATTTAATTGAAATTGTAGTTTGGAAAAGGTTTTAATGTTCAAGAGTTGTCTTTATAATGGAGATTGCTGGAAGGTAGCTCCACTTCTTAATTACTTTTTTCATTGCTGAGACAGCACACCAACCCCACAATTTACAGAGGTTTCAGTCCCTATTCAGCTGGTTTCAAGGATAGATGCTGGGTGACAGAGGGGCATAACAGGGTGGAATTGCATTATGGCAGGGCACAGAAGAGAAAGAAAGCAGCAGAAGATGAAGCAGTGAAATTAGGAAAAGTTGTGCAACAGCCAGCCTGCCTCTCCTTTTTATCCTATCCAGTTTGTTGGGTGGTGCATCCACACTCTGGGTGAGGCTTCCCATTATTCATACCCAGAACCATGCTAAAGCAATAACTTGATTGATTTAATAATTGTATGCACTTACTAGACATTATAATCAGGCAGAAAATTTAAACTACATAATTAAAAAAGTGTCAAGAGTGAGAAAGGCAAATTATAGTCTGGAGGTGGGAATATTTATGTTTTCCAAGGTAGAAATCTGTGGAACTTGTGAATTGCATAGTTTGGGAACCTGCAGCATTAAACATTTAGTATTACCTTTGACATTTAGGCTTCAACAATCTTAAAGTCAGAAGCATGAGTTTTCCGAGAGTTAGTTTACAAGTCACATTGTCAGTTCTCACCTCAATGCTATTCTACTTGACATCCTATATGTTTAAATTTTATTTTTTGTTCTAACAAAAGTAATTTTAAAACTTACAAGATTTTAAACTTTAAATTGGCTTGGTTAATGTTAGTGTTTGGCTAGTATATGTAGGAAGGCAAATGATAATTAAAATGAAAAAAATAACTATTTAAATGTTTCTTTTTCTCCTGGGAAAAACTGGGTATTTAGGGAAGTAGTAGGAAAAAGACATTTACTTTTACAGTATAAACATATATATATATATATATATATATATATATATATATATATTGCTTGTTAAAAAAATAAAAATTTTACTGATCTTAGTGAACTAAAAAAGGGATGCTTAGGTTTATCGCAATGATGTAAATTACTAATTAGAGTCTTAAGAAAAATATGACCTACAAACCCTTTTTCTCCCTTAAAAAAAGTAGAAAGGAAAACAAAAAGTTTTTATGGAAAGACTTCAGCTTACACAAGGAAAGTTTAATTTACAAATATTAAAATGTGTCTCATACACACTAAAACAAAATCTTATAACCTGGTCTTTATGAAGATCACGAAAGTATCATTGTAGAATCAGAATGAAAGAAAAGTCTGAATGTCATTTAAAAGGCCAATCCTTAAAAAAGTAAAATCAAACAGCTTTTATGTAACCATTTCAGTAGAGTGCCAATGACACTAAAATTACTCTAGCAGGTTGTTTCATTTCCTAAGTAAAAGAATATCATAAAGACAATACCATATAAATATAGTGTTAACTTTGCTGCATCTCTTTTCTCTTTCAACTTGATTTTTTATTTTTATACTAATCATTATAAAGACTCCAAAAACTTATGAGAAAAACACACTGCACTGTATTTACGTATCTAGGCATTTACGTATCTAGGCATGTGTTTTTCTGGAAAACTTACAAAGAAAAAATTGACATCAGTCTTATCTATATGAAAAATTTTCACCAGATATTCAAAACAGTCTTAGATATACAACATTTCTCCAGTGTGACTTTTTACAATGTATTTGATAGTACATATGAGTCCCAAATGCTTTTCTGGATTGCTTATACTCATATGGTTTCTTCCAGATGTGTTTCTTTAAGGTCTAAAAAATGAAAACTTAGTAAATACCTTCCAGCATTGACATATACACACAGGATTTCATACGTATGTGACTTCTTTCATGTCAACAAAACAAGAACTTAGAAAATCCTTTCTCAAATGCCCATCATACATATGGTTTCTTGTGTGACATCTTGGTTCACTTGATGTGACATCATTAATGTCTTTGACAAACATATATAATAAATGCTTTTATATGTTGTTTACATTGATAGGGTTTCTCTCCAGTATGAAATCTTTTATATATTTTCCAATATAAGGGGATAGTGAATGCCTTCCCACATTGATTAAATACATAGGAATTCTCCCCAGTGTGACTTCTTTCATGTATTTTAAAGACAATTGTGTGTAGTGAATGCTCATCCACACTGCTAACATACAAAGGGTTTCTCCCCAGAGTGACTTCTGTCATGTATTTTACAACTCTTGTGAGCACTCAATACTTTCCCACATTGCTTACATTCATAGGGTGTCGTTCCAGTATGAATTCGTTTATGTATTTTAAAACAACTGAGTGTAGTGAATCCTTTCCCACATTGCTTACACACATAGGGTTTCTCCCCTGTGTGAATTCTTTCGTGTCTTTTACAAGTATTGTGAGCAATGAATGCTTTACCACATTTCTTACATTCATACGGTTTCTCGCCAGTATGAATTCTTTCATGTATTTTCCAATACTCAAGTGTAGTGAATGCTTTCCCACAGTGGTTACACTCATAGGGTTTCTCCCCAGTGTGAATTCTTTTATGCATTTTAAAACAGCTATGTGTAGTGAATGCTTTCCCACACTGGTTACATACAAAGGGTTTCTCACCAGTGTGAATTCTTAAATGTATTTTAAAACAACTGTGTGTAGTGAACGCTTTCCCACATTGCTTACATTCATAGGGTTTCTCCCCAGTGTGACTTCTTTCATGGATTTTACAATAACTGTGTGTACTGAATGCTTTCCCACATTGGTTACATTCATAGGGTTTCTCTCCAGTATGACTTCTTTCATGGATTTTACAATAACTGTGTGTACTGAATGCTTTCCCACATTGCTTACATTCATAGGATTTTTCCCCAGTATGAATTCTTTCATGTCTTTTACAATAGCTGTGCGAGGAGAATGCTTTCCCACATTGCTTACATTCATAGGGTTTCTCCCCGGTGTGACTTCTTTCATGTATTTTCTCATGAGACAGGGTAGTGAAGGTTTTCCCACATTGCTTACATTCATAGGATTTTTCTCTAGTGTGACTTCGTTCATGTCTTTTACATGAGCTATGTGAGGAGAATGCTTTCCCACATTGCTTACATTCATAGGATTTTTCTCTAGTGTGACTTCGTTCATGTCTTTTACATGAGCTATGTGAGGAGAATGCTTTCCCACATTGCTGACATTCATAGGGTTTCTCCCCAGTGTGACTTCTCTCATGTATTTTACAATAACTGTATGTACTGAATGCTTTCCCACATTGGTTACACTCATAGGGTTTCTCCCCACTGTGAATTCTTTCATGTCTTTGGCAACTACTGTGTGTACTGAATACTTTCCCACAATGCTTACATACACAAGTCTTTTCCCCAGTGTGAATTCTTTCATGCATTTTCCAATATTTTGATGTAGTGAATGCTTTCCCACATTGCTGACACACATAGAGATTATCCCCAGTGTGAATTCTTTCATGTATTTTCAAATATTTGGTTCCAGTGAAAAATTTCCCACATTGCTTACATTCATAGGGTTTTTCCCTAGTGTCACTTCTTTCATGTCTTTGCCAACAGTTAGATGTAGTGAATGTTTGCCCAGATTGTTTACATACAGGTGAACTTCCCTCAATCTCACTATTTTTATAAATATGAATGTCACTGTGTGTACTAGAGACTGCCACATTTTCCTTACATACAAAGGTCTTCACTTCAGGGTGAATACTTTCACCAAGATCAGAATAGGCTGTCCCACATTGTTCATATTTATAGGGTTTCTCTAGGGCCTTTGTTCTTGCTTGGATTGAAAAGGACTGAGAATCGCTGTAATTATTCCTGGGTTCATCACATTTAGGCAGATTCTTTTCAAAATCCTCACACTGACATGTTTTGAGTACAGTGTGAGTGGTGACGGGCACATTTGGCAATGAATGATCAATGAGGGATTTTGTCCAAGTAAAGATTTCAGCTGATTTTAAACCAGCTTCTTTCGTATTTCCATTAGCATCTGTGGTCTCAAGAAGTATTTCTTCATGTTGATTCCAAGCTTTGTATTCATAGCATTTCTCTATTTCTTCATTTCTTACATTTTGCCACCAACTTTTGTATTCCACGTCAATATTCTGGTTATCCCATGTTGGTCCCATAGTAGCCATGTTCATAAAGGTAACCCACATCACCTCTCTATAGAGTGTCTTTTGAGATGGATTCAACAAAGTCCACTCTTCCATGGTGAAAGTCACAGCCACATCCTCAAAGGTTACTGCCTCTACTGCATGGCTTGAAGGTCTCCCAGGGTCCTTCCAATGCATCACAAAGCCTGCAGAAGTCACAGAAGTGAGTGGGCATTATTTCTAAGAAATGTGATTAGAATGTGCATGTTGGTACCAGGACTTACTGGGACTCTGAGAAGAGTCACATTAGATTACAATTCCCACTTTCATAATTGCCTACCTGAGTGTCCTCAAATAGTCCTTAATTTTGTAATACCTTACATTTCAAAAATGTAAAACAGAGATAACAATAGTCTATGTCATAGTTGTTCTAAATGTGTTAAAATGCATATACTTTTAGCAATGTCTGGTGAAAAGTAAGATTTCAATTATTTGCCACCACCATTACCATGCAAGGTGTATGAGAAACAATGTTACCTCTTCCTTCCACTGAATGTAACAAAAAACCCTGGATGGAATGCATGTAGCAGCACCTATCTGAGGACTAAAAAGTGATTGGAAGAAGGTAGATTAGAGCCAGGAAATAGACTTCAGGCCAGCACAAACAATCTCATTCTGTCTCCTAGTTTTGTTGTCTACTTGGATAATTGTCCTTTGCTCTTCAGCCTTGTTGCCAATCTCTCCTTTCATTTCTCTATTTTTTCTTTCTTTCTTTTTTGGTACAGGGTATCGAACTCATGACCTCGTGCTTGTAAGGCAAGTGCTTATGCTGCTGAGCTAAATCCCTGGCCCACTCCTATTACTTCTAAATTCCCTATCATGGAGGTAAAATCAGTCTATTAAGACCATTTTTTCTGTATATAATTTTCTGATATATTTTGCTATAGAATGATTAGGCTTGCACCTATGATTAAGAGCAGCAAATTAACAGGTATCACATTGTGTCATTTTTTTGGACTGAACCTCATGCTCCTATTATTACTGGTTTCACTACTTTAGAAAAAGTGACATAGTTGTTGAGATGAGTTGTTGTAGCTTGCGTGCCAATACCAATGTTGTCTGTCATCAACAATACCATAACCCAATACAAAAGAATTGGTTCTATACCAGACACCAAATTTTAATCCCTAAATTTTCAAAGAGGCAAGATCTTAGGACAGACTCACAGGACAAAAATTTTTTGAAAATAAATAATTTCCTACAAGTTCTTGGTAATAGTTGTAAAGCTATCTAACACAAGCAATTTAGAAACATCAACAGAGAAAACGAAAAATGGAACATGGAAAACCTGAAAGCAAGATACAACCCTACACTTCTTCCTCACTAAGACAAAACCAGTTGGCATTGAATTATCCAGCTGGACTTTCTGAAACAGCAGCAGAAGTAGCAATGCAGAAGAATCAGTGCATAGAATGAAAGAAATCAGACATAATTGCATGGTTTACTAAAGAGGTTATGAACATAATAAAGGACATAGTAATTCTAAAGGACATAAAGATTTTTTAAAAATAGAAGATCTTAGGAATGTGACAGAAACAATAAATGTACAACATAGGAAAGAAAAATAGATGAAGAGGATAGTAAAAACTGTTGAAAGCATATGCAGCAAAGTTAGGCAATATGAAGACAAAATATCAGATCTAGAATACAGTTTCCAGTTATCACCCACCACATGAAAGATTTTTTTTTTATTGCTGCCGTTGTTTTCTTTTTTTATTTTTTAAGATGAACTCACCATGTAGGACAAGATAGGCTTCTACTCAGTTATATAGTTTGCACCGGCCTCAAACTCATGGTAATTCTCCTGCCTCAGACTCCCAACTGCTGAGATTACAGGTTTGCATTATCATGCCTAGCACATAAAAGACTTATAAAAACAGCAAGGGACCATAAAAAATCAATATAACAACTGATAGATGATGTAAAGAATAACATAAGATTAATTAGAATCAACGAAAGATCAGAAGATAGCACAAAAGACAAAGAAAAAATAAGTTCAGAGAAATAAAACCAGAAAACTCAAGTACAGAAAAAGAATTGGCAGATAATTAGGGCATAAAACGCAACCATTAGCCATGATCACACACACACACACACACACACACACACACACACACACACACACTACACCAAGGACCATATCAGTCAGGATTACAGAAATTCAAGAAAACAACAAATTAAAATTTGTCCAAGAAAATAAACAAATCAAATATAAAGGAAAAAATCACAGCACAGCATACTTCTCAACATAAACCCTAAAACATGGAAAGCCTGGAATGAAGGAGTTCAAGCCCAGAGAAAAAAAGAATCAAGATTGATGTACCCTGCAAAACTACCTTTCAAAATTGATGTAGAAATAAAATATTGCCATGGCAAAGAACACCTGAAGAAACTCAGGATCAGCAAGTCAACACTCCAAAAAGTTTTAAAGGATATTCTAGGAAGGGAAGGAAGGGAAAAGAAAACAAAAGATAAAGAAGGAAAAGGTGGAAACAAATCTTCTTGTAAATAAGAAGAGGATAGAGGGATAAAAGGAAGGAAGGGGAATGGGGAGAAAAAAATAACCAATACATAGGAATAAATTCCATAGACTGTATGTGACCATCATGTGTATGAAATTTGTACCATAAAATTAATTTTAAAAACATTAAAAGAAAGCTGAGGCAGAAGCCAAGTGTGATAGGACACACATGTAGTGCCAGCAATCTGGCAAACCAAGGCACGATGATTGCAAATCATTGTAATTTAGCAAGACCTATCTAAAAAAAAAAAAAAAACTTAAGATGGCTACTATCACACACAAAAAATAAAGGACAAAGTGAAACACTTAATAATGTATAAAATATTATTTAAAATATTAATACACCAAAATAGGCATCCTTAAGTTCATTATCCCAGGACTCAGGATGCTGAGACAGGAAGTTCACTGTGAATTCAAGGCCAGCCTAGACAACATTATAATTTCAAGGTCAGCCTCAACTACACTATAGCAAGACTGTGTTTAAAACTAAACGTTTTTCTTCACTTGTGATACCAAAGTACTACAAGAAGCATGTCTGTTTTTCTACCTATTCTAGCCAAGATGCCTAGAACCCTGTTTGGTATGTAATGCTTAGTCTCGTTTCTCAATTTGATTACATTAAAAGACACTAGAAAGATGCCGGGATTGTATGGAGGATAACCTAACAATAGATTAATGCTCTGATGAGTTCATAGTTGAACAGGCTCCCTGGAGGTGAAAGCCAGTTAGAGGAAGGATGTTACTGGGTCAGGATTTTAAAGGACATACCTTCTCTCGGGTGATTTCCGTCTCTCTCTGTTTCCCAGCTGCCATGAGGGGAGCAGCTTTCATCCTCCAAGCCTTTCCAGCATGACATTTCTGCTTCACCACAGTCCTAGAAGCAACAGACCAAAATGAGCATGAAGAGAATCTTAAACTGAGTCAAGATGAATGCTTCCTCCTTTAAGTTATGTATATTAGGAAATTTTACTCAGAAATGAAAAGCCAAGCAATATGATGCATTTCTCAGATGCATGAAATCTACTCTAAATCCAACTCAACAGCCATTCTTGCCATGAACCCACCAAACAACCAAGACATTATTAGTTAGCTTCTAATGCTTAGGGAAGTGATGAGTAAGGAGAAGAAATTCAAAAGCATTCTGGGCCAATCCTAAGGCATTACATTTTTCTATACTATATAAGGATAACAGCAGACATATACCCCACAATTAATGACTTTGTTATCCCTTCACAATTCATTTTTCGCAATGACTTCCATGTAGTTTAAGCACACACCTCATACAATATTATAAAAGTCATTTATTCAATATATAAAGTGCTTACTATTTGCAAGGCACTATTTTGTCATTGGAAAGTAGCACTGTAATGAAGGACAAAGCTCTGCCTTTGTGAAATCTATATTCCTAAAAGGGACAAAGAAAACAAGTAAGAAACATAATTTCTTATGCTGCTAAGTGGTAAAAATACTTACAAAGGATCAGGTGAGGTGGCACACACCTCCAACCTGAGCACTCAGTACAATGAGGCTGGAAGACCACTGTGAGTTCAAGGCCAGTGTGCTCTATATAAGAAGGCCAATCCTCAAAATATAAACAAAAAGACTGACTGACAGAAGTTATGATCAATTCTAACTTAGATAGATGCCTAGTATACACAGGAAAAGAAAACTCAAAGCCTAAAAATGCTCAAAGCATTTGATCAATTAATTTCACTTCTGTAACTTTGTAGAAAAAAACAAAATGAAAAATTTAGGCACTAAAGTCAGGGGCCTGGCACCAGTCTATAATCACAGTACTCAGGAGGCTGAGATAAGAGGACACACTTTAAATTCAGGACCAGCCAGAACTACACAATGAGCTTAAACCCAACCTGAACTACTACATAGTGATATTCTTTTCCAAAAACAAACAAAAATCCCAAAAAGAATAAAGCAACAAGGGTTTAGACATTAACATTTGCATTCAAAATTAGAAAATAAAGGTTGTCCTCCTGGGAACAGTGAGTTGGGCCGAGGCGTGGAACCCCATCCCAGCCTGGTGGAACTCTCTTCCTCACCTGGGGGCCAGGCCGCAGCTTCCTGCTGGGAACAGTAAGTCGAGCCGAGCCGCAGAACCCTACTAGGCAGACTACTCTCCCTTGCTTGGAATAACACCTGAAGCTCGAAAATATAGGAAAATGACAAAATGAAAGACCAAAATGCAATCTCAAACATCCAGGCCACCCCAAGAAAGCCTAGGAGCCATGTACATAAAAGAAAGTACATGCCACATACCTGAAATAATAATAACTGAAATAAAGAAGGAACTCTGGGAAGCCTTAAAGAAAATCAAACTAGAAATAATCTCTCAGGTAAAAGAAGAAATGATAAAAGAAATGAAGGAGATGCTGAACATATCTAAAGAAGACACAGTTAAAAAATTGGAAGAACTAAACAAAAAGATAGAATCCCTGGACAAACAATATAAAAAACATACAGAATATATAAAGAAGGTGCAAAAAGAATACAGGAAATCAATAACTCCATTGAAAGTTGTAAAAATTGCCTCAATGAATGTGAAGATAGAATTTCAGACCTCAAAGACAAGATTGCAATCAGTGAACAGGAAAGGAAAGATCTTTTAAAAATAACAAGGAATCAGGAAATAACAATTCAACACCTGCAAGATGATGCAAAGAGGGATAACATAAGGTTGATAGGGATAAGTGAAACAGAAGGGAACAACATAAAGGATGTCAAGAGGATATTTAGAGAATAGCTGAAAATTTCCCAAACATGAGATTGGAAACTGATATCAAGATCAATGAAGCATATAGAACTCCAAATAGTCACAACCAAAATAAAACTACACCCAGACATATAATAATCACCATCCCAGAAATCAAACAAAAGAATAGAATATTAAAAGCTTTCAGAGAGAAAAGACAGATCACCTATAAAGGAAAATCTATCAGAATCACAGCAGATTTCTCAGCACAAACAATAAAGTCAAGAAGAACATGGAGTAAAATACTTCAGATCCTAAAGGAAAATGATTTCCAACCTAGACTGATGTACCCTGCAAAACTGTCCTTCAAAATTGAAGGAGAAATAAGATACTCCCATGACAAAGAACAGCTGAAAAACTTCATGATCACCAAGCCAACCCTGCAAAGAATACTGAAAGACAGCCTAGATACATTTAGGAAAAAAACCACTAAAAAAAGCAGACAATTAAACAAAACAGAAAGATAAAGATCTAATAGCAGAAAGATAACATGTCAACAATAAGACAATATATAACAGTTGTAACCATTAATGTAAATGGTCTCAATGCACCAATTAAAAGAAACAGACTGGCATAATAGATCAAGAAACAAAGTCCAACCATATGCTGTCTACAAGAAACCCATCTAACCCACAAGGATACTCACAGACTTAAAGTCAAAGGATGGAAAACAATACTGCATGCAACAGGAACCCAAAAAAAAAGTGGGGGTAGCTATTCTTTTTGTAGACAATGTGAACTTCAAACCAGTAATGATACGAAGGCATTAAGAAGGTCATGTGTGTACACACTCATTAGGGAAAAACTCCAAGAGGAAGAGATAACTATCTTAAATATATATGCAAATTGCAGAGCACCCGGTTATATAAAACAAGTATTAACAGAAATGAAAAACCAAATTAGCAGTAACACAATTCTAACAGGAGATCTTAACACACCATTGACACCAATGGACAGATCAACCAGACAGAAAATCAGCAAAGAAATAAAAGAACTGAATTGTACCCGTGAACAAATGGACTTGATAGACATATACAGAGTATTCCACCCAACAACAATAGAATATACATTCTTCTCAGCAGTTCATAGGTCATTCTCTAAAATAGACCACATATTAATTCACAAAACATATCTAAATAAGTGCAAAAGTGTTGAAATTACCCCTTGCATGCTATGGGATCATAGCACTATGAAATTAGAAATTAATGATAAAAGATACTCCAAAAATCCCACAACCACATGGAAACTGAATAACACACTCTTGAGTAATCAGTTGATCACAGAGGAAATTAAAAAAGAAATTAAACAATACCTACAAACAAATGAAAACACAAATACAACTTACCGGGATCTGTGGGATGCAATGAAAGCTGTCCTCAGAGGAAAATTTATTGCACTGAGTTCCCACATCAGTAAAACAGAACGAATACAAATAAATAACCTGATGTTACACCTCAAACATCTAGAAAAAGAAGAACAAGTCAAGCCCAAAGCCAAAAGAAAAGAGGAAATTATAAAAATCAGAGCAGAAATCAATGCAATAGAGACTAAAAAAAATCCAAAAAAAAAAATCAATGAATCAAAGAGTTGGTTCTATGAAAGAATAAATGAAATCGACAAGCCCTAGCCAACCTTATTTTAAAAAGGGAAGAAAAAGCTCAAATTCATGCACTAAGGAATGAAAGAGGCGAAATCATTACAGACCCTATAGAAATACAGAAGATCATCAACACCTATTTCAAAAACCTCTGCTCTCAAAGGTTTGATAACTCAGAGGAAATAGATTCCTAGAAGGATATGAAGTACCAAAGCTAGGTCATGAAGATGTGAAACTGCTGAATAAGCCAATTTCTATAAATGAAATTGAAAACACAATTAAATCTTTACCTACAAAGAAGAGCCCAGGCCCAGACAGATTCACTGAAGAATTCTACAAGAAATACAAAGAAGACCTAATGCTAAGACTCCTCAAACTCTTCAATGAAATTGAAAGGGAAGCAATCCTTCCTAAATCATCACTAGAAGCAAATATTACTCTAGTACCAAAACCAGAGAAGGACCCAAATGAAAAAGAGAACTACAGACCAATCTCCCAAATGAACACAGATGCAGAAAAATCCTCAATAAAATATTGGCAAATAGGATGCAGCAAATCATCAAGAAGATCATACACCATGACCAAGTGGGATTCATCCCAAACATGCAGGGATGGTTCAATATATGTAAATCAATAAATGTAATACACCATATCAATAGAGCCAAAAGTAAGAATCACATGATCATTTCTATAGATGCAGAAAAAGCTTTTGATAAGGTCCAACATTCATTTACGGTAAGAACCTTGCAGAAAATTGGAATAGATGGTCTTTACCTCAATATAATAAAGGCCATTCATACCAAAAGCCAATATCATACTAAATGGCCAAGAATTGAAGGCCTTCACTTTAAAATCAGGCACAAGACAAGGATGTCCCTTATCACTGCTCCTATTTAATATAGTACTGGAAATACTAACCAGAGCAATTAGACAAGAGAGAGAAATAAAAGGGGTAAAGATAGGAAAAGAAGAAGTTAAATTATCATTATTTGCAGATGATATGATACTCTATATAGAAGATCCCCAAAACTCTATTGAAAGACTCCTAGATATAATGAATAAATTCAGTAATGTAGCTAGATATAAAATCAATACTCAAAAATCAATAGCATTCCTATACACTAACAACAAAATCACAGAGAGAGAAATAAGAGAAGCCACACACTTCACACTAGCAACCAAAAAATGAAATATTTAGCAATTACTCTCATGAAAGAAGTGAAAGACCTATGCAGGGAAAATTATAATACACTGAAAAATGAAATTGAAGATGATCTCAGAAAATGGAGACATCCCTTGCCCAGAATAAATATTGTGAAAACGGCCATTCTCCCAAAACTCTTATACAGATTCAATGCAATCCCGATAAAAATACTATCAACATACCTCATAGAATTTGAGAAATCACTCCTAAAATTCATCTGGAGCAAGAAGAGACCTAGAATAGCAAGGACAGTTCTAAGCAGCAAAGGCAATGCAGGAGGCATCACAATTCCTGACTTGAAGTTAT